AACATTGTACTTTCTTTGAAGTGTGACTGGGTTAGTTCACCCAGAGACCACTCACCAGGATGTAAAGTTTCATATTAAGGTGAGCTGAAGTCTTTGTCAACATTTTTTCTTGATAATGTCTACTGTAGATATCATCCTTTTGTTTTAAAGAACATTATTTTGCCGCGGAGTTCTACTATGTTTTTATATTCATTACTATTAAAAATTGCTCGTTTAAGGAGTCACAATCTTAGGAATTTTCAAAACCTTGTGGAAAGTTTTTTTTCGACCTCACATTAAAATTATAGTCAATTATTTAGGCGCTTACATACAATAATGGTAATATGCTCCAAACGCTCTTTTCGCACTGCAAGGAAATAATTTTTTTTTTTTTAATTTTTGAAAGTATTCAATCGAGTTATTGTATAGATTCTGCGCCTGTCTAGAGCTGTTGAGGAATGCACTACAAGACATTGCGACAAAGAAATTTCTGCTGAACGGAGAATTATTCTTTACAAAAATACACTTGCGCGTCAATAACTGCGTATTCATTTCTACATTTATCATTTTAGCTGTTTTTAGATGTATTATATGCTTTTCTAAAACATATTTTAGCTTAAACTATTAATTTCACAAAAACAATAAACAAACGAGAGCTTCTGGTTTACAATTGAGTTAAGCTGAAGACTTTTTCAATTGTTTTTGTTGTTGTTGTTGTTTTTATTTTGTTTTGTTTTGTTTTGTTTTCAGTGGTCCGGTTTAGGCCATAGTCGTATTCTCGGTATTGGACTGGAACTAGCTTGCAACTGAGGCTCATGCGGGGAGTCTTTGTAAATGACATTTGCCTCTTTTTAATGATATTCCCCCGCATGAGCCTCAATTGCAAGTTAGTTCCAGTTCAATACCAAGAATACCAATATGGCCTATTTTTTCGGTTGAAGATGTGAGTAGAACATTGTTTCCCGCTAATTTTTTACTTCCAATGCTGATAATCATTCTTCCAGAAAGCTTCAGAATTAAATGCGAAGTCAATTTGAATGCTTCAATACCAAGTTAAGCGCTGTTTAGTTCTTATGTGTGGTTACCTTAGTGTGTTGAGACAACACTCTTCTGTTTGCAACATCAAGCTGAATTTATCTGGAATCACAACAAGACCATTTTAGACTCGATCTTCGTCTCACAGAAGAAAATGCCTTTGAA